GTTTCCAGAAATAAACATGCACACATAAGGAAATTTTATTTATGGTTGGGCAGCATCACAGATAGGCAGGGAATTCACTACGAACCTTTTAGACACCCAGTGCCTCAACAGCAGCACAAAATTCAGTGGTTTATCCCAGGGCCACCAGTGAAATCAAACCTGAATATTGAAGTTTAAGGTTAGGCAAAAAGGAAACTTGTTATCTGATGTGCAACTTCTGGGAAGGCGTGGCTTGCATGGGACAGTGAGGTCTCTAGAGGCATGCCCACTGTGGCACACATGCCATGTGCCTGTCACCACTGAAAAAGGCTAATCAGTAAATGTTGACATGAACTGGTTATTCAACTAGAATGAAATGAATAGAAATCTTTATTGCACAAAAAAATGTAAAGAAACCACAAGGGAATATGTTCTTAAAGTTATAAGAATCACTTAATAAATATTATTACAGAAGGAACAAGCTGATGAATATGATTGTATTAAAGATATCCTCTTTGTGTAAGATGAATCAAAAACAAGAAAGAGTGACAAGAAAAATCATGAACTGGGATATTCATAGTGAAATACCAAGTAAAGATTCAAATATTATATATATATATATATATATATATATATATATATATGTGTGTGTGTGTGTGTGTGTGTGTGTGTGTGTGTGTGTGTATTAGAATATATAAAAAACTGCCAGAATTTAATAAAAAAGAATAATTGAAGAAAAAATATTGAAGCATAAAAATACAAACTTTGTAGAAGAATAGATACAATGACCCTCAAATACCCCACATCTAAAACACTGGAAAAACTTTAAGACTGCAACATTCAAATGTGGTTGATGTACAAACTGGTAGAACCACTTTGAAAAATAGTTATTTTTAGGCATTTTTAATAGTGTTAAATGTGTGCAAATCGTACGATCTTGGAACTGTACCGTACGTGATGTCTCTAAAAATAATTCCTATGCTTATCATACAGGGCAAGATTATTGTGGTAAACCACCTTTCCAATACTATAAAACAGAAGATGTCAAGTCCAACAATCTACTGCAAACACACCCCTCAAGGGACCTCTGGACCTCCCAATAGGCCCCATTTCCTCAAGGTTCAACACCACCTGCTCGTAGCACCACCATCGTGAGAGACCATGGACCTTTAGGGCAAGACAAGCATCCCAGTTTTAGTAAGCACAGATAGAAGCAGTAGTCACAGAACCAAAACTGTGAGAATAATTCCTCGGTGAACATTGGGATGTAGTCATCCTCGCTTTAGAGCAGAGGTGGTAAATCTACGGCACCTGTGCCATATTGATCTGTTTGCTTCACTGCAAGCTCTAAAAGGTTCACTACACTGGTCTAGAGCAAAGAAAAGGAGTTATGTATAATTACGGGCATAAGGATAGGATGAATTTCACATTAATAACATTGTATAAAAAGTCTTAAAATACATATGTATAATATGCTTCAAAAACCTGGCATAACTAACAATACTACTTTCTGTTGTAGATGTGGATCTCAGTAGCAAAGCACAGGAGTGACTTACACCACATTGAGTATGAGGTTTACCTTCACAGAGTGGTAGGGGTGGAGGTGAGCAGAAAGGGCACGGATGCAGGTTTGGGTAACATCCTTTTCTCAATGTACAGTGTGGGTCATATTACTGTGTGAACTCTACTTATTCATTAAATCAGTTAGGTACATGATACATTTCATAAGAAACACTTTTCAAAGAAGAATGATGTAAGTTCATGGTAGGTGGAGAAATTATTCAACTAGCTGGATCTGAGCATGTTTTTAAGCAGCAGGGTAAAGCAAAGATATTATGAGTTGCTCATAGTACTGGAACATCCAGTCCCTTATGAAATTTAAATAATGAAAGACAGGTAAGTGATGAAGGAATAATGTTTTAAGGGAAACCTGATATTTTAAATACTTTCCATAGTGGAAAAGTGGCCCTTATTCAAACAAATTCTCCAGACAGTATATGACTACATTAGAAAGAGAAAAACAAATGCATTTTCTTCAGAATGTGATAGAAAGCAGTTAATATTTCTCACGTAAATTATAACTATAGCCAGACTATTTTGATTTGATGAACCATCCTCTGCCAAGTTCCCTAAGAAAGAGAACTAAAGAGCATAACTTTTTAAAGAAAAAAAAATTTAAATATAACAGAAAGAGGGATATTTCAATTTGGAGTATATGGTGAGTGAGTATATGGATAATGGATAATGGATAATTTTCATTTATACAAAAGAAAAGTAAAATTCCTTCCAAAGGACAAAATGATAGATATACAAATAAAGTTAGGCTACTTGGGACCTAAACAAAATATAATATGTAAGAGTTTTTAAAAATAAAAAGGGAAAAAAGCAAATGTTATGAAATTTCAGATAAGCTGCTCATATGTGAGAGGATATAATATTACAGAGAATAAAAATAACGTTTATAAAAGGCATGAAATAGAATCACCAAGTGGTAGTCCTCAAGCCTTCCTAAAAATGCAAATAGGTGAGTCTTATCGAATAGTTATTGGTGATACATTCACCTGTCCATTAAACATTAATTTCTTCCTCATATTTTATTATGACATTTTTAAAAATAAGGCTCATTCCATAGGTCTACAGAAAGCAATATAAGAAGATATGATGGTCTGGTACAAATTTTTATTTGAAGGCTTGCTTTGTTTGGATTTATGCAAGCTTAGATATAATTCTATGTCTGTTACTTGGAAAAATGAAACCAGGATAGAAAAAAAAGAAAGATTTAAGAAAATCTGTCATTGAAAAGCAAGTCCTGAAAGGAGAACATGCAACACAATAGTACCAAAATCACCACCAGGTTGAGAGAAAAGAGCAGGAGCAACCCAGAGAGAAGATGATGGGTGACAACTTAAGAAAGACTAATTAAGATTTATGATAAAGCAGTGATTTTCAGTGGATTAATTCATAGTACCCTAGGAACACTGTGAAATTCAAGAGGATATTTTTGGTTATCAGAGTGACGGCTGGGCTCTAGCAGTAGTCTGAGTGGGCACTCAAAATGCTGAACCTCCAATAGCATGTAAGACATTCTTGCACAATGAAGAGTTGTCTCATCTCACATTCAAATGGCATCCATAGGAAGATAAATCGTGAGCTTTTGTCCTTTCTGCTTATGCTGACTTAGGTTTTAATTATTGTGGAGTAAGCTAATTAAAGTATAACTTCCAAGAACCATACGACGTCTTTCTGTGAAGTGGGTAACTGTAATGTTAAATAAAATATCACCTAAGCTTTCTTGAACTTTCTTAAACTGGGTTCATTTAGAGTTGCACTTTCTTGCAGATTTAAACATTATGAATTGTTCACAACAAAGATCTTATTGTTGGATTTAATGTAGCCAGGGAAAAAGAAATAATACACATATTGCTTAATGAACATTTAACAGTTTAGGGAATTCACTTGTATTTAAACATGTTTTGGTACCCTGCTCAGGGAGGAGGCCTGGAAGCACACAATCAGTAAGCATCAAATATTTCAACTGCACACCCCATTCTTTCCCGCAAGACTAGGGATACAGACTCTTCATCAGCAGCCCAAACAGAGACTACTCACTGATAACACATGAAAGATCTAGGAACTTCAGAAGATACTATAAATCTCTCTTCACAATAAAAAGTAATATAATCCACTTTTTATACCTCACTGATCCATAGAGTCAAAGGTTATAAGATAGCATTTACTGAGTGGCCAACCACACTTTTGATTGAACTGTAAGGAAATATTTTTCCCTTATTTAGTTATGAGTGTTTTAATCCATGAAGATGTCACGCATGACTATTTAGCTAGCTTTTACTTTTTATGTCAGATCAAAATGTTGTCTAGATACCCTAAATGATCTCGTTTGTATTCTGGGTTGAGTCAGAAAAGAAATTAAGAACATTTTCTCCGTGCCCAAACTGACAAAATCTCTGTGTTGGACTTTCCCTGAGGCCAATGTATTAATACACAAATTCCTCAGTACCTGTTTTTAACTAAAATATCATAAACTCGAAAGTTTAATTTGAGTCACCAAAAAAGCCAATTTCACGTGTGATTTTACCCAAGGTAATTCTTGCAAAGACTTCTTCTAATGTTTAAAAACACACAAATCCAGTATCCCCATTTTGGTCCTTCACCTCTGCACCTTCTTGATTGATGTCTGCAATTGAAAGTAGTAGCTTCTCCCCCATATTTGCATACTGTAGGTATGAACAGTAGGACATATGGGCAACCCTGGGTGTAACAGCTTTACATTTTCTAATATTAGCATATTCTTTCTTCGATACTAATTCTGCACTTAATAAATACATGGCAAATAAATATTTTATTTTTGCCATAATATTTTATACACCTTGAGCAGTGATTGAATTAATTTCAAAATTCTAATTTTCTTTACCCTCAAGTAACATTTTTTTAGGAAAGAGAGAGATACAAACAAAATAATCTTGCAGACTCCAGCTACTCTGTATTTCATGTATAAAATATAACACATATGTACATTACCGGTGCAAAAGGTTTGAGGGTTTTTTTTTTTTGTATCTAATACATAAAAACAGTATGAGAGTGGCTATAAACTATATGCAGCTACAAGTCCCTGAAATTTGGCTTTATTTCTTTATCATGGACTCAATCAAAGAATTTATATTTCTGCTGGCAGAAAATTACAGGAAATTAAAATTTACGTGACACATGCCAGAGAAAAATGTTCATAGTTTGGAAAGACTGTAAATATGAAAGTAAAAGCAACATTTTTTAAAACTGATCACTTTTCAAAAGTGATTTTTTTATATAATTGACAAAATTCGCATTACTCTGAATGCACAGATTCAGTTCTGCAGGCAACATCTGCTTCTTTTGTCACAGCATTGTCCAAACATTTTGCTACTAATTCCAAAACCAAAAATTTAGACATTTTGAAATGTGAATTCAACATGGTTCAGTATTTGCATTGTACACCCATAAAGTGGCAATATTTAAATACTTACCATTTTTCTACTTGAAGCACTTTCTCTGGCAGTGCTGTCCGCATGAAAACGTTTTCGCCTGGCACATATTACTCCATTATAAATGCACTTCACCTTCTCTGTACTCCCAGCCGAGCAGAGAGAGGCCTTGCGATGGTTACTAAGCTGGTCAGGAGCTGAGCCAGGACTTTAATCCAGGTCTTCTGATGTTAAGCACCTTTCATTATACAACTGTTTTCTCCCTAATGAGGTTTTGGTCTATTAGTCAAACTGAAACATCTCTATCTTCCTCATGCAATTGATTTCTTTCTTTCTTTCATTTTTTTGTTAAATGAGAGTAGTCAATGAACAAGTATAAAAGAAAATAAATCTACAAGACCAATTTAGAAATGGAAAGTCTTATGCCTAGAATATTTTCACAGACCATGTCATTCCAGCAGACACACTAAAAAGAATACAGTCCCAATCAGAAAAATATTCCAATTATTAAGAGGCCAGTATATGCTCCAGTTCCTAAGAATGTATTTGGACAATGCTCAGAACGATAAGAATGCTCACCAGTTATAGCAAAGAGAGTTACTTATAAAAAAGATAGCTTTAAGCCAAATGCCTACTTAAAAAAAAACCTCAGTCGCATTTGAATACACAGAAATTATTAGAAAGAATCCTCCTCTCCGCTTATCTGTATCTCAGAAAAGTCCTTTTTGTTACTTCTATCCTTTTCATTTCTTATCTAATAGGCAGAGAAAAAGAAGCTAAGGATTCTTTCTCAACTGCTTTTGGTAGTGAGGCAACTCACAAGCAAACACCAAAACATCTGCTTCTCAGTACAGGCTCAAAATATGACATGCAATTATATATATTTATTTCACAAATGACATTTGCTATCTTCTTCCCTGGAGGCAAAAAATATTCCACATCATTTTCCTCCCAAAAAACACATTTCTTAAAAATGTTAGCTGGACATTTTGGTTTTTTCTTTCTTTTTTTATGGATTAGAGTTGAAAAGTCAACACAAAAATAAAGTGGGGTTTGGATATGGTTATCTGTAAAGATGAGTTCATTGTTCCCCTTTGACAACCATAAGTAAAGTCAACAAAACATATTCATTCCAGCTTGACATCACCAATTATTTTCAAGATGAGTGAGATTACAGACTTTCTGCAAAAAGCAATTTTATTATAAATGAATGTGTAGGCACACATATCCAGGCATTCCTTGATCTACAAACAGCACTGTTCCTGAAGAAATTTGCTATAATTTTCTCCTAAAGTTTGGTGTATGTAGCAGCAGTGAGTGTGTGTATACATGTGTGCGTGCATGCATGTGCATATGTGTGCACTGTAGGTATCTTTAACTCGCTTTTTACAAGTTCACCAGAGTGTGGTTCATGATCCAGCAACATCAGCATCACCTTGAGCTTCTCAGACACAGACTCTCAGTATCCATTCAGACCTTTTGCACAAGAATCCGTATTTTAACAACATTAGCAAGTGCTACAGTTTAGATCAAGAATGACCCTCAAAACTCTCCGATGTTCACAGGCAGGGCTTTGGGAAGGTGATTCAGTTGTGGCAGTGACTGGCTGTATATGTATATGGGGGCGCTGGTTAGCGGCAGGTCACAGGGGTGTCACCTGCAAAGGTGTATCTTCCTTGCCAGCTCCTATCTTTGTTCTCTGCTTCCTGAGAACCAAGAAGAGAACAGTTCCTTTCCACCATGCTCTTTCTGCTTTAAAGCCATTCATGGACTGAAAACATGCACCCAAATAAACCTCTCTCCCTTTAAAATGGGGGTGTCAAGTATTATGTCTCAGAGCTGAACTGAACAAGACATTAGGGAAGTCCAATGCACATGGAGGTCTAGGAAGCACTACCTATGTCTCTCAACACCAAAGTCTCTATTACTTCCCAACCAGTTTAGTTCATTTATCCAAAACTGAATGTCACTGCCCCTCTGAGGAGCCACTCCTCAACTCCATGTACAATCTCTTTCTCCTCTTCTATTTACTGTAACTGAGCATGATGAGCGTATCAGCTTGCTTCTAGTCACCTAATCTGAGAGCTGCAGGCTGTCCCAGGCATCACTTGCTACTCATTGAGGACAAGATCCATGTCTGTGTTGTTCCCTTTTACATTCCTTGCCTAGTGACTGGTGGGTCTATCTGCTAAATGAATAAAAGTAGTAACTACACGGAGAGTTCCTTGCACATCTCCATTGTGTCCATGTTCCTGGAATCCCTTAATCAGTCCCTCAGGCTCCCATTTCACCTCTAGTTGTTCCATACACTCAGTGCCACCAGATTGATTCTTCTAGAACACAAATCAGAGGCACATCTCCTATTTATGTACTCCATCACTCTTTATAATGCTGTATGTTAAGGTCTATAAATAAAATTCATAGCTGCAGACTGGCAACTACTTACCCTTCCCATAATGCTGCTCTCTGTCTTTTTTTTTTTTTTTTTTTTTTTGTCTTTTTCCTTTCTATAGGTACCGGGGATCGAACTCACAACTGCCTGCTTTCAAGGCAGGCGCTTATGCCGCTGAGCTAAACCCCTAGCCCCCGTTGCTCTCTGTCTTACTCATCTGCCCCAACCACAACCCCTGTGCCAGTTTGACAGAGGATAAGCAATCCTCCTTTCTATCTGACTCCTCAACTGGAGGGTATTAAATTAAATCCTTATGGCTCAAAGTAATACGTTAAGTTCTCACTTCTGAGAAGTGATAACAGGCTTTAAAATATTTAAATTAACATTAAAGTTAAAAGTATATGCAAAAAATGTTTCAAAAGACAGTTACTACATGGAAATAGAATACTATTCCTCATAATTGTGTGTGTGCATAGAAAATGTTTCTACATGAGCTAACTGGATGAAAATTTTTATTACACTAATGCAAATAAATTAGGTCTGAAATTAACGTCATAATTTCTGGTATGTTTCTGAAATATGAACATTTCTCACTACTCCAAAGATCTTCATAACTCTTCCAAAATTTAGCAAGCATCTACAAATCTTAATTTCCCATTCATTGAGCATGAATGTTTGTTACAATTTTTCCATGGAAATATTAAAGAGATTCTGTGCTGGCTCCAGTTTAGACTTACAAGTAAATACCACCTTTTGGTTGTTGCTAGAGGAATCTAAACACAGCATCAGGCCAGGAATCATCACTAAACTGGGAGCCTGAATATGCAGCTCCAAAGCCTAAATATCCTCACATTTATACAGTACACATTTACACACTCACAGGTACACACTGAAGATTCCATCTACCCTAGGATGTGGTGCACATAACCTCACTCTTCCCTGACACAACAGGACACTTGCATCCTGCACCACTGAATATTCTTGCTTCAGGTCCATTGTCACATTTTGATAAAGTTTTTCTTGACTTCTCTTCAAAATTAATTATTTGTTACCTTTTCTATTTTCACAATACCTCATAAAGACTACTATCATAGCAGGCTTTAACAATTTTTTCCTATGTCTATATCCTTCCAAATTCTAAGTGCCTGGGTACAGGATCCAGATCCATTTCATCTTGTTATCCCAGATAGTTAGCACTCCACAATGAATAAGAGATCTCTACCATCAGTGCAACAGTTCAGTGCAGAGCTGCACATGCATAGTTCTGTTGAGGAGGAGGAACTTTGTAAGGCCTAAGTATTATGATTCAAAGTCAAGAGCTAAATTCTTTGGAATCTAGATAAATCCCAAGGAGCCATGAGCTGAGCAATCAATAGGACCCAACTTGGAGAACAGGTGCAAACTGGCAACTGAGGATCCCCCACAACAACAAAGTGCAATGTTTCCTCCAAGAATGAGTGGGTGAGTGGACATCAGAAAAAACAGGAAAAGTAAGTAAAGGGGAATGGTGCCAAGACCTCTCTATGAATACTCCTTGGTAAGATACACACGGGTACATACACCTCACATATTTTTCCATCTTATGTAACAAATTCATCCACATAGAATGTCTTCATGGTGCTATTGTAGATATCTTAAGTATATAATAGCCAGTATAACAGAAATATTAATAACGTAAGAGTGGCTGAGCTGGCTACTATGAAACTGATAGAATAAAGTGAATTTAACCTACATAGTCTATCAAAAGAGTCACCAAACAGATGTAAAACAGATTCATATAAAACAGATTCATATAAAATATGAATCAATCATTTTTGCCACTGGATGAATATTTAAGATACAGAAAACTCCAGATAGGAGAAAATGGAAATCACACCATACCACCATCCATCTGGCTGATGGAGAGCAGTGCTACTCAACTTGAAGTGCTTCTTACAAACCCTCGGGAGACGAGTGTAGCTATCAAGCAGATAGTTTTAGAAAACTTTGTAGCAAGTTTACATTTTCATTTCTATTGGATCTAATAATAAAAATTCAAGGCTCTTTTTTTTCCTTTTTATTCAATTTTGTAAAATAGCCTTCTTATATTTTATGAAATAATCGATTTGGAATGAGTTGGAAGGAGGAGGGGGACAAGAAAGGAGAGAGAGGCATGTGGGTGGAGAAAAGGAAGACAGAGGAAGGAGGAGGAGAAAGAAGGATTCTTCACCACAAGGAGTTCAAAAAAACCACTGCAAACTTCAGTGTGGCCACACCAGAAAGTCCACCTCATCAGCAGGTAATACTGATGTCACACAAGAAGATAAAGTGGGCTGAAAACTCCATAAAAAAGATTGGGGACAGCTGTTATCTGATTGTTCAGACTGCTCATACATAAGGTACACAGGGAACAATGACTTAGCACTTCTCCTGTTCACTGAACAAGGATACATGGCAGCAATTTCTGTGGAAAAAATGAAAATGTCCCTGCTATAAGAATCATATTTTTATTTGCATTTGATGGATTTAAAGGAAATTCTTTCTAAAGTCTGCTTCAACTCTAAAATTCTCTGATTTTCTGAATGTGCTCTTGGCTTACTGATGAAAAGTATCCTGAAATGATTCAACTAAAGTTTTAAAAATCATTTATGACATGCTAGAATCAAACGAAAGTTTTCAGTTAAACTTATCTGCACAATATGTGATGTAGTATAAGACTTCCTATCCAAGAAATGCCTGGCAGTATCTGAAACAAGACATTAAAGACAACATAAGGCCTTACCTGAGAATGAGAAATATTTCTTTAGTTATACTTATAGAAAATATTACAAGAAAAAAACAGGAAAGAAAGGAAAGAAGGCAGGGAAAAATGAACAATTTGCCTGAGAAATGAGGTACACAGTGAACAGAATGCGAACTGTTTGTGATAAATTAGGCAGTGCTAAGGTAGCAGTCCTATTTGAACAGTACACAGTCATTAAGGATGGTAAATTATCAAACCCCAATGAGAAGTGATTCTGAGTAAGCAAGAGAGAGCGATACAGTAATTCGACAGCATTAGACAGGTGACCTCATCACAGTTTTAAATAGCCTGTCCATTATAAGCATATATTATCACCCCATGAAACTGTCATAGACTAAATGCTGACCTGGAAATTAACAATCAAGCATATTGCAGGAAAATTGTTAAATGAAACTTTTTGTTTATAACCAGCATGGTGCTGATTAGAGAAAAAAATCAAAACCACTGTAACTTTTAAATTGCTATTGTTATAACAGAATTCAACTAAACTTGCATTAAGAAACACAATAGTCTACCTGTCTTAAAAAAAATCATTTTACCCTGCTGTGAAGATTTTTTGAAGGATACCACTTGTTACCATCAAGAAAGAAAGTTGTATGCAAAAGAAGGATGTTGGAATTTGGTTTTGCAGTTGATAAGGAGTTGCTATAAATAATACCATATTTATATTTCCAATGTAAAATTATAATAGCATTAAAATATATTACTAGGGTTGGCCCTATGCATATTCTTTACAAAACTATTTCTAGCAGTAATTACTATTTGCAGTTACCTTGAAATTCATAGCACTTCCAAATCACTTCTCCTCTCTTTAATCTTCTTTGCATGTTTCTATTTTTCTTCAGTTTTAATGAGAGATGCAAGAGGACACTAAGCCAAACACATTTTCTAATATTGTCTCATTGAACTGGAATCTCAATATAGGATGAATATATATATATATATATGTATATATATATATATATATATATAGAGAGAGAGAGAGAGAGAGATACTCAACAGTATGCTACCCCCAATTAAATCAGGATTTTGCATTTTAGTAAGGAAAAAAACAGTATTGTTAATCATATTATTCACTCACTCTCTTAAATTAAAACAAGAGTTGGTTCCTTTGTTTTTGTTCTGTCCAGCAGTATGAAAGAACAAAAGATAACAGAATAACAAAAAAGGCCTGCCACATATTTATGAACAGCTTAGATACTGAGGTTTCCTATAATTTCCTCAGTGACAGAGGGAGGAAAGTCTCAAGTGAGCTGCTATACTGTATGTCCACTTTCTCCAATTCCAGACACTAAACCTATCAATCATCTACAAAATACAGAGTAACGCTCCATCTCTTTGGCGTCCATCAGAAATTTCGCAGCTAGTCTCCTCTTGTAAAATGACAAAGCCATAATAATAGTTGAACTTATTGTAGGAAAATACGTATGATGGAACAAGAGGACATGACTATGACAAAAAGCAGTACGAGTAAGTGGTTTTCCTCTCCATTTATCATTCCTCCTGAATCTTCTGTATACTCTGCTGAAATAGATGAGCTTATCACAGCACAGTAGCATCCAAAAGAGTCCAACATAGAAACAAAAGGCAGACTTCACAAGCAGAAGACATTTAACATTGGATTTCAATCAAGGATTGAGCCTACTCTGTGTATTTCCCTCTCCATTGACCATCTTAATAAACCCAATTGAGAATTTCCCGTGATCCAGTCAGTTTTCTGTTGAAGTCAATACAAAAATTAATGTAGAGGACAGGGAAGGTCAGCACTGACTCTGCAGGGATTTTCCTTCCTTCAGATTAAAAGCTTTCATAAACCCAACTTTAAAAAAAAAAAAAGGAACAGAAAGCAAAGCAAAACAAAACAGAAGAGCATATCTCTCATAAAAACTGTGGGTTTGGGAAAACGGAAGAAAGTATGTGAAACATACATTGGCCACGAGCACACTGTGAGTTCAAAGGGTGGCCTTATTAAAAGCACTAACAAAACCCTAAGCAGTACACACAGTGGCAAAAAATAAGACAGTAAAAGCGTAGCTTTTCCAAGTGTTCTAGTTAAAAAAGATTGATAGTAACTCATTTTTCAGAAACACTTTGAAATTCCCAGTAAATTCATCAAATATTTTTTTAATTAGAATGGATTCTCAGGCAGAGGTAAATACATACTTAAGTGCATACTCCAGTATTTAATAGGGAAAATGGTAAGAGAAGAAATTTTTAAAAATCTGAGTTGATCTCTAAATACAGGATCACATATAATATCCCATGAATCTATGAAAGTGTCAGAAGAGCAGCCTGTTCTCAATCCCACAAAGGATAAAAACCACCTTCTCCACTGCATTGTTAAGATCTCTGCCTCGCATAGTCCTAAGAAAGGTCTCTTACCTGGAAGCTCTGTCCGAATTATTGGCTATTGGCTTGCTAACGAAATTGGCTCAGAGATTTAACATGCCTTGGCCCTCACATGTGGATAAGATAATGGCAGGTTAAGCAAAGTGTATATGCTCTAGTAATTAAATAAACCAAGAGAAAAAGGCACTCATGTATACACTGAGCAATGAAACAGGTTTTTAAGCTATGAATTCCTAACCGTATTTTTAAGATTTTCATGTTTTGGTTTTAGAAAAGAATTTTATCAAAATAAAACTTTCATAGAATGATTTTAAAAATTATTTGGCAATTAATGCTTGTAGATGCTCAACCCATAATAGGAGTTTCAAAAATGGTTCTTTTAATTTTAATTATTGTTTAGTGATTGCAAAAAAAAAAAAAAAAAAATTGTCGGTTTAAAAACTGTGGCTTCCCAACATAGAGGCCAGTTCAGAGATTACATGAGACAACACTCTAGTCGGTTCCTTTCCTGTCTCTGGACCAGGTTTTTGCATTGTGTTCAGCAACACTTAAATCCAACTGCATGTGGATATTCACACCTGGGCTCTAAGAGCTCAAGGGAATGCTACCATCTCTGTATCACAAACAGCCAGCCTGGCCTCTGAAGGGTTCACTTTGAGTGGAAAATGACTTTTGCCTGTGTATCAGAAACCCAAGCATGAATGTCTATTTTATTTCTGTATCTCAATGACAGACTACCCTGAAGGCCTTTGGTTCGTAATGATCTGGAGGTATGAATAAAAAAATAGTTTTCCCACTCAAACAGCATGGTTAATCAACAGAGGTTGCAGCTTAGAGCACTTTGTTAAAAATATAGTAATGACTTCAGGTGCAGTCAGCATTGCAACACACTACAGATGCAGAAAATGGGTAAACCATGTACAGTCACTAATATTTAAGGCCAGACTTAACGACATGGTAGCCTTAAATATTATGACTAAAGGATGTCTCCCTGCTGGAAAGTAACACCAGAAGTGTTTTCATCATAAATAAAGAATAGCACATACACTCATATTAGCTATTTCTTTATTTTCTTCATTTCATGAGTACTTACATTACTGAAAGAACTAGGAAATGTTTCATTCATATGATAAAGTTCTCACAAAATTTATACTCTGCACAGAGAAAGAAACATGTAAAGAGTCCTAAGCCAGGCAGAGATCACTCAGAAATTATTTTTTACATACATGATAAAAATTTAAAAGGAAACATTTTAGTAGTATCATTGCAATAATATATGTAATAATTTCTAATTTAATAATATTTAGTATTTTTAAAATAAGTACACATTTAATCTTAGTGAAACAATGTAAAATTTAATATAGAATATTAACATTTAATGGTGATTTGAATCTCTAAATCTCTAAAAGTAAATGATTTGTCAAATACTATTTTAAAAAATAGCTAATCATTAATGAAGTGATTGAGTATGCAGAGCCTTTTCTATCAGTTGAAGGTTTAATTATAATTTCAAAAGCTAATAATTGCTAATTTTAAAAGCAAAGTGAATAATGACTATAATTACATTTATAATCTAGGGGACAACTACAGAGTACTTTCTGTATTTTTTTAAAGAATACACTGCATTATTTCCCTATAATACAGTAATCTAAGGTTAAAACAACTGTTTACAATATAATTATCTTTGGTTTTTATAGTAAAAAAAATTACAATTTTCAGAGAATTTCACAGTAGAATCATGTTTATAACAAGCAAGATATTTCTTTAAACAAAAAAAACCAAAGTTATTGTTTCAAATGTGCATAATATTTTAACTTTTGGATCTTAAGATATGAAATACCTTATTTTTACAAAGAAAAATGCAAGGCATTCATTAAAAAATAAAGTACGCATCTCATGCAGAAAAATTTCCTCCATATATTGCTGGTGAGAAAGCCAGTTGGAGAGTATTGTTATGTAGCA